AAAAACTAAAACAAAATTAAATTTAAATTAAATTGAAAATTAAAAAAAAACAAATGCATCGAAATGTCAAAATGTAGTCGCAATATATAATTTTATTCTATTTACAAGGGCGTACAAATTGTTCGTGAGTGAACCAATTTGTCCTTTGAATAATTCAATTTTGGCGCCGTTTTGTGTCCACAATATGGCGCTCGGTTGACAGTGACAAGTGACAAGCTTCATTCGGTCAGTCAGTCTCTCGCAGCAAGGGAAAAGCCTAAAAGGTATATTTTCAGCTTATTCTGAAAATAAAACGATTGAGAGTCCCGTCGCTTACCTGTGATATTAATTAGTGTAATCGGAACATTCTTATTAATTGGCAAGTCAGCAATACATTCGTAACCGCTGTCGGACTATTCTACTTGGAACCACGTGCGAGGTTATGTTAACCTATAGTTAGTTAAGTTTTAATGCCAGAAATATGGCACAGCAAAAAATTGTGCCCTGTAACGTGGTTGCTGTCTATCAACCTTATCTTCAAAGGAATGTCGATGTTCTGGGGGATGCTTTTACATGGTACATATCTTTAATCCATAAGCCATATGTAGCCCCTGCGGAGCCCCAAGTTGTCGAAGAGGAAAAGGACGATTTGTCGGAACAAGAGATAGTGTTTGAAGATGATGTCGATTATTTGCGAAGCCTGGACCCTAAAGAATGGAAAGATCAAGACCACTATGCCGTTTTAGGTATCAAAAACCTTAGGATAAAAGCCACCGATGATATTATCAAACGCGCTTACAGGAAAAAAGTATTAAAACACCACCCCGACAAACGAAAGGGACAAGGTGAAGAAATCAGGCCGGACGACGACTATTTCACTTGCATTACTCGGGCTTATGAAATCCTTGGCACTCCAATCAAACGTAGATCCTACGACTCTGTAGATCCTGAATTCGACGACTCTCTCCCTACGGCTAGTGAAATTAAACAGGACTTCTACAAAGTCTTCAACAAGTATTTCAAATTAAACGCTAGATGGTCCGAGAAGAAAAATGTACCACCATTAGGTAATGCTAATACAAGCAGACAAGAAGTGGAGAAGTTTTATTCCTTTGGTATAATTTTGAATCTTGGAGGGAATTTTCTTACAATGATGAGAAGAGAAGGAGCGTGGACAGGATCGAGAGGAGAGGCGGTGGATTGAGAAACAAAACAAAGCTGTGAGGGCGAAGAAAAAGAAGGAGGAGATGGCCAGGATACGATCTCTGGTCGATATGGCTTATAATAATGATCCGAGGATAGCTAAGTTTAAACAGGAGGAGAAGGATAGGAAATTGGCTGCTAAACGAGCAAAACAGGTAAAGAATAGAAATTTTATATATATATATATATATATATATATATATATTTAATACATAAAGTTTTTCATATATTTAGAGTCCCAGTTAGACTCTACTTTAATGGACAAGTATATGAATACAAATAACATAATATACAAATATATAAAATTTATTTATTTATCTAACATGACTCTGTATCAAGAAAAAAATATATATTAAACAATTATAACTAAATGTAAATATAAATAATAGAAATGAAAATAAAATGCAAGAAACTGATCACACAAATTAGAAGCAATAAACAACATCTTGTATATAACAATCATTAATTTAACTAACTAATCAAATAATAATAAAACCAAGAATGTTTATTTTTGAATGTTATTTATTTTTTCATATCAAGTATATATTTGTTTAATATGTTATTTGTTTTAAATAATTTGTGAGATAAGTTTACCATATTTAATTATTTTTTTTTAGTAATATTATCTATTTATAAATTACCTTTTGCTTGTCAGCAGGGATTTTTCTTCCAAACAATTTTTACTAATATTTTTTCTAGTCAGTAGAGTTCTTTTTTTTACTCTTATATTAATCTCTTATTAATCTCTCAAAGTCTCTTTATTGAACTATATTTATTAATATTTTATCTTGGAGTCCTTTTTTTTAAATTATTTTTGCTGGTTGCTGGAGTCCCTTTTTGAACTATTTTATATTGATGTTTTTGCTTGGATTCCTTTTTTTAAATCATTTTTGATATTTTTGCTCGTCAGTAGAGTCCCTTTTTGAATTATTTTTTTCGTTTTGGATCGTTAGCAGAGTCACCTATCTTTTTATTGAAATTTTTGCTCATCAGTAGAGTCCTGTTTTGAATTATTTTTGATCGTTAGCAGAGTCTTATATTTATTTACTTTTATTAATATTCTTGAGATCAGCAGAGTATCATTTTTGATATTTTTGATCGTCAGTAGAGTCTCTTTTTTATTTTTTTGGTTAATATTTTATTATTGCTTGTCAATAGTCCCTTTTTGGACTATTTTTTCTTTTTTTGCTTATGGAGGCTTGGTCCATATTAATACCAATTGTAGTCATAATAAATTCCATAAAATATTATTTATATTTGGTTTATTTTATGTATGATTAATATCCACGACACTATGTGTTGTCATATTTATCGTTAA